AAGAATGTATATTTCTCTATTAAAGCCTAGCAGTTTAAGGTCTAATAAAAACATAATTATGCGCCAAAAAACAGATAAATCAAAAATAGAAAGTTAAACAGAAAGCACATAAATAAAAAGACAGAGTGGAATGGCTATATCACTTTCTGCCAATGTATTGAAACCACTAAGCAAATTAAAAACTAAATCAAGTGAATTGGTAAGTTTTATTGGAGAAGATGCTTCAATAGTTTATCAGAGAAGCATCTTTAACCAAGCAAGCTTCCATATGTATAAGGACGGTAGATACTAGTGTAGAAAAACACATATCAAATATACCTGTAGCATGAATATATTAAAAGGGGTAACTCGTACTAAAATTATAAAATAACTAAACCCTCACAAATTTATGTATAGCCCCTTTCTTTGGTCAGTCTTGAAAACAATAACAACAACAACAAGCCTTAATCCCACTAAGTGTCCTATTGAGTGTCATATTTTGAACAGCAACAAGAATCCTTTTTCTCCACTGTGTCCTATTGAGTGTCATATTTTCATTTAATTTTAATAAATTAAGATCATTTTTTATACAATATGCCCATGTCTTTTTAGATTTACCTCTACCTTTCTTAACATAAGTTGATTCTCAAACATCAACTCCGCGAACTGGATCCTTAGATAATCAACATTTAATGTAGCCAAACCATCTAAGATGACTTTTTAATCTTGTCTGCCACTAGAGCTATACTAACCCTTCAACGGATATATTTGTTTCACATTTTGTCTCTAAGTGTAAAGCCATTCATCCATCTGACCATTCTCATCTTAGCAACACTTAAATTAGTTTTATGCTTCTCCTTTATAGGACAATATTCTACACCATAAGCCATTGCAATTCTCACTAACATCTTATAAATTTTTTCTTCAAGTCTGAGCGATACTTTTCTATCACAGGATAGGCCCGATGCATACTTCCACTTCAACCATCCAACTTGAATTCTAGTAACAAAATCCCAATTTATATCACCATCACTTTGAACAATAAACTAGAGATATCTAAAACATTCACAATTTTTAATGACTTGATACCCACTGTTACAACCTCGCCAATAGATCTACTATTACTAAAATTACATTACATGTAATCAGTATTAAAAACTATTCAAACGAAAGCTTTTAGATTTTAAAGTTGACCTCCATTAATTTAATTCGGCTAGTCTTGAAAATGCAGATTACAAATTTCCATGCTTCTAACAATTGAAAAGCCTTTATGCATGAAATTAATTTCCAGCTGAACATGTCTTCTTAGGAACCAAGTATTAAGGATATATTCTAGGAGATAAGAAGAACAAGATCTAACACTTTAGTCAATCACAGAAATTTCGTAGCTATAAGAAAGCAATCCAATGAAATGCATGAGAGGATTATATATATTATTAGTACAACGGTCAAGAGATTAGATGCTATATGACCAAATTATGCATTAATATCATTTTATTCTCTCATTCATTAAATGCTATTATTTTCTCATTACAATGCAACTAGTGATAATGCATGATATATTTCAGGATTAAATTGATAAATTATTATATAAAATTGACAGTATGGAAAATTAAAATAACATAAATATAAAATAAATTTTATATTATTTGATTTAATAAGTTAGTATATTAGAATATTTTATAATCGGTCTAATTATAATTTGTGAAATAGCAATACCTAAGGTCAATACTTTTTTTATGTCAGAATTAGAATATTTAAAATTAAATTAAGAACAGTTTATGCATTATAGTGACTAGAAGATAAAAGTTCTTTCCAATTTTATTATTTATATGAATTAATTTGAGAATGGATTAAATAAAATAGTAAATTGTATTTAGATTAAATTAACTGCATTTGAAAAATTAGACATTTGCGACTTGCCCTTTTATTCATACCTTTAACCTATAAATGAAAAATAATTTCCCTTTACATTAAAAAAAAAAAAAAAACTTTAACGATATAAGATTTGTTAGCGCTAGAGCCTGGTTTTTTCGGATCCCGCTCCCGATCTCCCATTCCCGCGCCCAATTGGGAAAGGTCGCGACCGCTACCCTGCGGTTTCGCGAAAAACCGCCGCTCCCGCCTCCATTTCGTGAAACATCGCCAACCCTGCCTCCTCTCTCGCGATAAAAGGTATCGCACGACTCTCCTTTCAGTTTTAAGAAAAGTCACGGTGTTCTTTTTCGGTTTTCCTCGGGATAGATAAAGGTTTTCTCGGGATAGAGGAAGGAAAGTGCAAGCAGTGTGTGCGTGCTTGGCAGAAGGAAGAAGAAAGAAGAAAGAAGAAAGAAGATGATTGTTCTCCCTTGGCTTCTTTTTGGTGGCTTGTGGCTGAAGAGAAGAGTTTATTTCTCTTATAAGTTTATCTTCTTCAGTGTATCTCAGTGTGGAGTTTCTTCGGTGTATCTCGGTGTAGAGAAAGAAGAAAGAAAGAGAAGAAGAGGGCAACGAAGTGAGAAATTCCTCTTGTAAGTCGAGGTGATCGACTAATGTAAATTCCTCAAGTACTAAAATCATCTACGACTCCATGGACGTAGACAATTTGTCGAACCATGTAAATTTGTGTGTTCTTTTCTGGTATGATTTTTCTCATTCTATATTCTATTTTTTCACTTCGTCGATTTCACTTCGTCGATCGTTCTCCTATTTGATTTATATATATATCACATCAATTGGCATTTCTAGATCTCGCAACAACTAGTATCAGAGCTTTGTTCGGATCTGAGGAAGAATGATGACTGCAAATGAAGTAAAGGTTTCAATGATCGAAAAATTTGATGACACAGATTTTGGTTATTGGAGAATGCAAATTGAGGATTATCTTTATGGAAAGAAACTTCATCTTTCGTTATTGTGGAAAAGACCTGAAAGGATGGATGAGAATGAATGAAATAATGAATGAAATTTGTTGGTGGGGGTTATTCGATTGACTCTTGGGGTTTATTCGATTGACTCTGTCGGGGTCCGTTGCACATAACATCGTCAAGGAGAGGACGACTGCAGATCTCATGGGAGTCTTATCAGGTATGTATGAAAAGTCATCGGCGAATAACAAGGTGTACTTGATGAAGAAGTTATTCAACTTGAAGATGGTGGAAGGTGTTTCTGTTGCTCAACACCTGAATGATTTCAATACAATCACAAATCAATTGTCGTATGTTGAAATTGATTTTTATGATGAGATACGTGCGTTGATATTGTTGGCATCATTGCCAAATAGTTGAGAACCCATGAGGATGACAGTTAGCAGTTCTGCAAGTAAATCTAAATTGAAATGCGATGATATTCGTGATTTGATTTTGGCTGAGGAGGTTCATAGAAAAGATTCTCGCGAGATCTCAGGTATTAGTTCGGCACTGAATGTTGATTTCAGATGGAGATGACATTACAGGAACTCAAATAAAAGGAAATCAAAATCAAAGTCTGGTCAACAGACAATCTGCTGAAATTGTGGCAAGGTTGAGAACATAAAGAGAAACTACAGGAATCCCAAGAAGATGAAGAATGATAGCGCAAATGTGGTATCTGAAGAAGTATATGATGCACTATTGCTGGCAGTTCATAGTTCTGTTGATGATGGAAGTGGAGAGGAGAGTGGGTCCGAAGCACCAATTCTTATTGTTCCACAGACAGATGGTGGAGAACCACAGAGCTATAAAAAAATCTTGCAAGATGAAAGTTCGAGCAAGTGAAAGCTGACAGAACTTCCACCAGGAAAGAAGACATTACACAACAAATGGGTGTACCGGGTGAAGACTGAGTTTGATGGCAATAAAAGGTACAAGGCTAGACTTGTTGAAAAAGGCTTTCAGAAGAAGCAGGATGTTGCCCATGCAGTGGAAGTTGTAAGCAGAGACAAAAGTAATTCAATAAATAGTTTGGAGGTGCAAGGCTATTTGGACCCTGTTGATATGTTGATTGAGGCTGTTACCCTTGAGAAACTGAAGTTGTGTGCAACTTCAGTTGGTCTTCTGGAGTGAAGACAAGACTTTGAGTTGCAGAGGTGAAAGATTCAAGTTGGAGGATTCATGGTGGAGGATTCATGTTTGAAGAAAAAGGGCGACACCGCCAGTGGAGGATATCAGTTCGAGGAAGAAGACGTTGTAGCTTGTGTATCGGTCACCAAGTGGGAGATTGTTAGCGCTGGAACCCGATTTTTCTCGATCCCACTCCCGCCTCCATTTCGCAAAACGTCGCCAACCCCGCCTCCTCTCTCACGATACACGATATCGCACGGCTCTCCTTTGAGTTTTAAGAGAAGTCACGGTGTTCCTCTTCAGTTTTCCTCGAGATAGAGGAAGGAAAGTGCAAGCAGTGTGTGCGTGCTTGGCAGAAAGAAGAAGAAAGAAGAAGAAAGAAGAAGATTATTCTCCCTTGGCTTCTTTTTAGTAGCTTGTGGCTAAAGAGAAATTGGGTTTATTTCTCTTGTAAGTTTATCTTCTTCGGTGTATCTCAGTGTAGAGAGAGAAGAAAAGAAAGCAACGAAGTGAGAGATTCCTCTTATAAGTCGAGGTGATCTACTGGTATAAATTCCTCAAGTAATAAGATACTCTGTAACTCCGTGGACGTAGGCAATTTGCCGAAACACATGAATCTGTGTGTTCTTTTCAAGTGTGATTTTTCTCATTCTATTTTTTCGTTTCGTCGATCGTCCTCCTGTTTGATTTAGATATATATCACATCAACTGGTACATCTAGATCTCGCAACAACAAGATTTGCATTAAGTAGACGCAACTTCTCCTTTTTTTTAATGGTTTTAGCCGTTAAATTAAAAAATAATTTCTTCCCCAGCTAAAATAATTAATAAATTCACAAAATATTCAGGAAGCATAATTTTGAGAGGGAACTTTATCCTTTTCATAGATTTAATAGATTATAGGTGCTCTCTATTTGCCCATTAATATATGATATAATGGAATAGATATGACAGAGGCATAATGAAGAAAAGAATTCCAATTATCCTATTCAATCAAATTACCATAGTTGCTCGAGGCCTTGATTGTTGTGATGGTGCTTGAGAAGCTACATACCGCAGGACCTCATATACCCGAGTCTGGCCATAATTTGCAACCTTTTGCCAATAAAGCACAGCAAAATCCCCTGCCCTTGTTTTCAGCTCTAAAAGATTGCGATCAATTTCATTCTCATGACTCGCAACATAAGGTTGTAAGAAGGTTTCATACACATAAGTTGCTCCCTGTTAAACTCCACAGCTTGAATGAGCTAAATATTGTTAATAAACAACAAGATATCAGAAAGATGAATATTTTACCCTGGTCTTTGGATACCATAAGTACACAAAGAATGCCACCTTTGCTTCACTGTACATTGGCAACCTTCAACAAAGAACAGTGCAAAATTGTACTTAAGAGTTAAACTCAATCAAGAAAAAGAGAATGCTATGAAATAACTTGGATTCAAGAATGTCCTACCATGAGATGAAGTTGTCTCCAACCCTCTCAAGAACTGTTATAACAGCAACTAATATCCTAAGAAAATTGATCAGGAGTCAAATAATCATCCACAAATCTGATAGTTCTTAGTATAGTTCATAAAAACAAAAGAACAAAATCAAATTACCAAACTAATTGATAAGGATTAAAGAATTTTGTGCAGTAAGTTAGCAGAAGATAAATAGAACCTTCAATGTGCTCATATTGCATGAAATAAAGCGAATTTGTGGCTACTGAACAAAATATGTTAAGCTCGTTTAATAGATCTGGCATTTTTTTCATGGGCGCATCAAAGCTTACCAATACTTGCACCAGAATCGTAACTGCTCAATCTCTGGGCGATTCAATTCCACAACTTTGAAGCACTCATACGCTGGATAAGCATATCCAAAAACCAACCTACAATAGAAATGCAGCTAATTCAGGATTCAACCATATTCCGGCCCACAAGATAATAAACAAAATTCTTAAACTTCAGAGCCAATCCATGCTCAAGAATTGCTTACGCGAGAGTTCTAGTGAGAAAAGATCCGATCATTTTGAACCTCTCTTATCATCAACATACAAAAGAGTCTGAAACTTCGGCCGCAATCCTCTGTAACGGATCAATCAAGAAATGCCAGTAATTATCATGATTTCAAAAGTAAATGAAATATCAGTGCCCAAAAACAGAAACAAGTTCAAATTCCTATTGAAAACCAAAAGAAAAGTGATGCCAACAGAGACAATAAAAGAAAAAGTAGGTAATACGAATCATTGGAATTCCACGTCATCCAAATAAAGTGCAAGAAAAAAACCTAAACAGCAGAAAAAAACAACATCCCAATTAATTAAAGATACATCCACTCAAAATAATTATTAACAGAAACCCTAACAAATCCAAAAGCGATCTCACTATCAAATCATTTTAAGAAAGCGAAGTTCAGGGAATGAGTGTACTGAACAATAAGACATAGATACCTTGCTGCAAGCTTCAGCGAGCGGAAAAGACTGGTTTGTAAAACAGAGACACCACAAAGAGCTCAGAAAAGCTTCCTGGAGATGAAACGCTTATTTATAAGAGAAGGCGAGGAGAGAGAGATCTTCGTGAGGGTCTCGAGCATCCACCTCCGCCGCCGACACCTGCAACAGCATAAAGCGGCCGGCGTTAAAATTCCTCCACGAGAATGCGTTGCGGCAACCGCATCAGAGGAGCAATGGTTACCGAACGATCGGTCGCACGTGATACTGCTGTAAAGGCACGTGACGGATGTTGTGTATCGTCGTAGCAAATAAGAATGGACAAATAGTCCAAGACACTACATATCGACTCCACCACCTTTCAACATAAAAATTTAATATGAAAAACTTAAAATTTATGAAAGTGATAAATTCAAAATATAAATAATTTTCATGAAATAGTTTGATTAAAAAAATAAAATTAAATTAATTAATTAAATTATAAAAATAGTTTAATTTAATATATAAATAAATAGATATTAAATTGGGCTGTCAAATCGGCTCGTTCGCGCATAGCTCGTGTTCGCCCCGTCAAGC